GGTGCGCTGGGCGCCCGGCCCGGCTGCCCGGCCTGGCCGCCGCGGATCTTCTCAGCGGGGACGCGCCCGGGACGCCGACGCCGAGCAGCAGCCGAGGCCCGGCAGAGCCGCCGTCGGACGCCGACGCCGTGCAGGTCTGTAAGCCGACCACCCAGTCCTCCTCTCGCCCCCTGCCTTGTCTTCACTCCGATTTTCTGTGAGTGGGTGCGTGTGTGTGTTTGTGTGCGTGCGTGCGTGTGTGTGTGGCGGCAGGGGCTTTGTCGCGTTTGCGCGGGTCATCAGCAGACGCACGCGTAGGCTCACCGGGAAGGTCGTGGCCAGGCGAGTCGTGTGCTGTTTGAGGCGCTATGCGTCAGTGATGGTGGACGTGGATCCTCACTGTATGCGTTCGAGGTCTGCTGATTCTGCTTGAGGGGGCGGGGCGAATGCGGTGGGCGTTTGCAGATGACCAGGGTGTATTTTCCGCGTGTTGGAAACGCTTGGAATCAGGGTTTGCTCGTGCCGCTGAATCGGTGCGGTATGGAGAGGGCGGGCGGGAGGGGCGGTATGTGTGTCCCTTGTGTGGATGTGTGGCGCCTGATCCACAAGTCGCTGCGTGCCCTGCCAGGTTGTGGTGGAAGGCTGCTGCAGAACTGGTAGCACTCGTGGAAGCCATGCTTTTGGCCGGGCCTGCTTTTCTGGGCGGTTCGGGATGAGTGCTCTGATATGTCCCCTTGAGCCCCCGTCCTCACTTCATGCTGTCTTCAGAGGCCTCGCCTCGGCAGGAGGAGCGTTGTCTTGTGTTGTGGTTTTGGGGTGTTCCTGTGGAGCCGGCTGCTTTAGAGCGGGGCGGCAGGGGGAGGGGCAGAGCCGTGTGCCTGGGAGTGAAGTCGTCAGTCTTTTCCCTCCCACCTTGGCTTTGCAAGGCTTCACGAGGAAGGGGAGGAAGAATGAGCGGGTTTTCCTGCTGTAGGAGCAACGGTTGTTTGGGATGAGGGTTTGGGAACCGTTATTGTTGTCGTAGGCTGAATTGCACTTTGGTCCTCGAATTCCTCATTTCTTCAAATCGCTAAAAGAGCTGGAAGTGCGGGTCTGGGTGGGGGTGGAGGCGTCAGAGATGGGGAGCTAGAGCAGAGGGAAAAGGGAAATTGGAATGGGGGCGGGGGAGGATTTGTGCTCTGCGCCAAAACCGCGGGTCAGATAAGAGGGGAAGAAAGGCAGTATAATCGAGTGGTTGAATG